CTTGATAGGGACAGCCCTTAATGAAAGGTCTCTTCATCCTTTCTTGCTTCAGCTTCCTGCACCTAGGTTGATACCGCCAACAACACGATCAACTAAAAACAATGCAAAAAGGCCGTTCAGTAGACACTTAAACAAGAATGTGCTGGAATTTACCACCTGTTTAGTATCTATCAGCACATTAACCTATTTTATGGATGACCACCAAGAGGAGCACACAAGAAAGAGATCTTATCATCAATAGTCGCAAACCTTTGAGAGGGTCCCATTCCATAAAAATACTATCTCTCTAGCCTGACCCCTTTTCCATTCGAAAGAGCTGATGATATTCATTATCGAAAGCCATCTCAAGAAAAAAGCACCTTGAAATCTTCCAGACCTGAACTCAACAAAGTAGTATTGCAAACATATCGTATGTGTCAACGCCACTCAAACCGTATAATGATGTATCAGTAGAGTCATAATCTTGCCCAAAATTACATGAACCATCAACCCTCGCTAGGAGCTTAATCTTGTAAGACAAATATCCGTTATGATTAATGGGCATTTCAAACGAAGAAATCGGCATACTGATAGGAGTTTGAAGTGACTGACATATAATGTAGCAAAACGGATTCATTGACACCATCAAGACCATTAGACAACGACTCTAAAGATATTTTGAATAGACAGATGTCTTTACACGCAATAACTATCTTAAGTCAATCGACATTGTTGAGCTTCAGGTTTATACCAAACATCAATTAGCAAAAATTCTCGTTGTTTCAGATGGTACGCTTTCAACTGCAATGGACGACCGTTGTTCATTTCAGTGTTGAATATTCCATACCGGCAGATTTGCTCTGGCAGACACTAGTAAAGTCTTATAATCCACGTGTGAAGAAATCAGTTTGACTCCATCAGTCAGTGACGGATTTTCTGTGCGGTAATTCGTGCCTAGTTATAATCCAACCGCCCAAACATAATGTAAAGGGCTTTGTGTGGTACCTAAAAATTGACCTAGATTTCAAACCCAGCTATCTCAACTCTCTTCATTTAAATAAAATTGATGCCTTTGTCAAAACCGCTGAAGTCATGGAGGCGAACATTTATTTGTAAATAATGTGAGCAAGAAGTTAACGCGGGAATTCAACGCGTCTTATACGCTATATTTTTTTTCTGATTTATTATATGCAAACCCACAATAGACGCGTTTTTCCCTTATTGTCTTTAGCCTTATGTCATGTTTTCCTCGATTAATGCCGGCAACATATTTAAGAAAAGAGATGTAACCCACTGCAGAAAGCAGCTTCAATGAAAATGTATTTAAATCTCTCGTCGCCCTTACAGCATGAAAATGGAGTACATCATATGGTTTTCACTTCACTAGTATTTTTACTCAAAGAACTTAAACAATAGAGCCTATATCCACGCCTGATCCACTATTCTTGCCAGATAAAGACAGCTTTGTTGATACGCGACGTGTTTTGAGAATTGAAAGGAGAAGCTTCAACTACAATTTGATTTCACAGCAAACAAGTTAATATTCTACAATATGGTAGTGTGCTCTGAGTCAGCTTTCTGCCTTCGAAACACGGTCCCGTGATGTTCATAAACTCCAAAAGATGTGCCCTTGAGTAGGCTTGAAACGGATCCGCAGTATGTAATCCTAGGCTTGAAACCGGTCTGGAGAATATTTGCGTACGAAACGTGGCCATCAAACTAAAACTTTGTGCTGTGCCCTAACTATGCTACACCACTCATTCACACTATTAGCTCGCTGTTTCTCCTCCAATATTTTTGGTGCTGGATAGGGTTCCAAATCTGGTTTATGTAGTCTTTTTCTCCAGGCACCCAGAATCAGAAAAAAAATCGAGGACTGTTCACTGCTCGGACTTCATTGAAAAATTGGTCGCATCCGTCTCTTTAGTTTGTGTCGAAGAGGGACAACAACCTATTATAATCGACAAATTTATACTGCTATAGAGCCAAGCTTCCTAAGCGTCACCGCTGAAACAGCATTCGAAGATGGATTTCTTTTCTGAGATGCTAGAATGAAAATCAGACTTCTACCATGACAAAACTTAAACATACTGCCTGTCTTTCGACGGCGCCTTTTACTAAACCACGTGTCTGGAGGCCGTATACTCCAGGTTTGTCAATTTTCATGCCATTTGTATCATTTATTCCTCATGAAATGCATTCTCGAGCACATCATGTCGGCATATATAAAAACCGCTAGCCAATTATACCCACGTGTCTTCATATCTAGCACCTCTCACTCACATAGGAAGCTTCCTTTGATTTATTACTGCAAGCTTTTGATATACCGACAAAACTAAGAAAAACTCTCGAAACTCTGTTGCCTAATTAATCTCAGCCTCCCGTGACTTGGATGAAACACTTGGGGAGGAAAATTGACAAGCTTCTAACTCACTGTCTGGGGAGGCACGGTCAGAACCATACTCGAATAAGAATGATTTTCATCAAATAAAAAGATGTTGTTAAAAATAGGTCATATAACAACCAGCTAGTTTAACTGGTAATTCCATATCTCATAATGTGTGTTTTCGAAGTAGACTTCCGCGTCTTGCGATTTTCAGTACAATTTCGCAGACCTTTTGTGAACTATTTCCTGATATACAGCTACTTGGCAGCCTCAAGAATTATAACTTCACCATTTTGTAATAAGTCTATCCAGTATTCATCAGCTTTGAACGAGTCTGTTTTATATGTATGATGGCTTCATCGTTTAGTCTCTGCAGAAGCAAAGCTAAAGTGAAGTTGATAATTCTTAAATCATTTCCCATTTTTGAAATAAAAAATCTTCATTATCTGCACATGGCTCATGAGGAAATTCTTCAACTTACGGAAATATATCCACAGATTTGAGGCACCTACATGCCATTTGATGATCATCCTTGTCATTGATTATGGTTTCTGTTGCGGAATACTCTCAGATATTACACTAAATATTTCAAACAGACCAATAGTTGAAGCCATCAAAATTACCTTTTCTGTTTAAAAAATTAACATAAAGACAAAATTTAGCAGCGAACATGCAGTGTGCAATATAAGCTTGATCGAAGGGTCTTTTCTATAGGAAGATATCTGCAGAAATCCAAACCTTCGACCTCTCAAACTAAAGAGACAGAGTGTTTCCTGGGCTGCATACTCGTTAGTGATGTTTACAGCAGGTTCTCTCGAAGCTACTGTGGTCCTTTTCTTCGCTAAATGATCAGCCTATAGAAACTGGCGCTATACTTCGAAGGAGAAAATAGAAGTACAGATATTCAGACTGTTTTTGATACTTTTTTGAAGTTTTCGTAGTCTTCACTCTAAAAATCGACTTATAGATCTAAATCTTACGCAAAAGAGTCTTTCGCATGAGAAACAACTACGGCTCCCATGTTATACGAATACGGCAGCTCTAAGCTTTGTGTAATTCAATTCTTCCTTGATGAGAGGTCAACTCATAACTAAACTATTCTTGGAGGCTTGTGATATTTCTTATCAAAACTCATTCGCTGAATCTGACTAGAAAATACATGAAAATCTTGGTTGGAGACAGGGGATCACTACTTCGCATATGACTCATTCTCAAGTATCAGACGCATTTTTGTTGGTCAAGTCTTTCATGGAACAAGAGTATCAATGACTTTCAAACGCTCACAAAAACGCTTTTGCTCATTGAAACCAAAATTGAGTCTGTGGAGTAGCCCGCATTCAATGAGCCAAAACTTTGCAAAGCTAATCGGAAGTGTGGCGGAATTGCTTCGCAAAGACCAAGGTCAAATTTTACCTATTGACTTGAAGTCAATTCTTAACACTTTCTACAGGTTTCTTTTATGTATGTAGTTACTTGTAAAAGGTGAGGCATGTGGTTGTTTTCGCATTTCTTGTGTGGCATTTGGCTAATTCTTTAAATATCAAAAACCGCTGCAAAAACCAATTTTGTCTTGATCAATAAGATAGAAGATACTATAAGCTAAAAAATCATCATAAGCAGAATAAGATAATTATTAAATAAACGAAATCATAAAATTGGGTTGTCCTCGAAGCTTTTTGGGCCCGCTGGGAAATGCAAGTCCATGAGCCGCACCCATCAAGTCACGTGTCATACGATAAGCGATTTTGCACAGCGTCTTCAGATCCGTCCTATTAATATGACAAGATCATAGATTACAAAATTCGGGGTTGTATACTGTGCAATTTAAAGTGGGTAGCTTAAATATTTCAACGTTCAATTTTCGTGCATGTTTTCCATATTATAGCAAGGAAGTAGCGTCTGAATTCTTCAGGGTTGACACAATTGAACCACCAACGTAAGCGTATTGATAAGTCACTCAATACAAGTGCAAGATTTTGACAGGGGCAGGGGCCTTAATCAGAATTTGCAGTGTTTTTGTCACTTTGAAACTTTCAAAAGGCAATTACTTCCGTCTATCTCATCAAGAGTTGCGAAACAATATGGAAGTCTGATGTATGATGCCTAGACCTGGTGCTCCTTCGTATGTGAGTTTGGCGAGCCTTTAAGCATTGTTTAAAAACTGCGATATGCTATTTCCATCGCATACACACTCACCTAAAAGAAGGGATGTCCATGAAGATCTTTCCCCATTCTATAAAACCTTCTGCTCTTTTGAATAGTATCTGTTTCTTCCAATTTGAACAATTATATAGAAGTATATCAATACATGCACGCAGACATACATGCTCAATCAAACCATAGCTTTAGTTCATACTTTGAAACAGACAGTGAGCAGCTGAAGGAGCCTTATGTCTAGAATCAATAGCGAACAGTAAGAAAAAGGACTTTTTTATTTTCAACAGTAAATTGTGGCTTTCATCGTGCATTTATACCGGTTTTCAAGAATTTGTTATATCGTCAGAGCTTCCAACAGGGTAACTCTGTGTTTATAAACAGTGTTTATTCGAAATTTAAGCTTAAAAGCTAGCGAAAGATATAAAGTGATTGATAAACACTAGGAAGACAGCCCAAAGAGAATCTTGGAGCTTCAGAGTGCACAACCTCGAAAATAAAGCGTGTCGACAGAAATCAATACGGCCATAGAAAACAGCCTAGAGAAGGAAGGCTAACAAAGATAAAACGAACATACCCAGAACCACGGATCTCGACCCTGCTCCGCCCTCAAATGGCGAAACAGAAGACATCGGGGTTTCAGTCATAGTACCAGAACTGGTGGTGCTGCCCAGAACGTGCCCCGGGGCATCTGTCGCGGGAGCCACTGTAGGATTTGGCCCTTCACCAGTTTCAGAAGTATCACAGTCGATACTCACAGTCCGAGTGACAGTCAAAATCGAAGTAGAATATGAACTTGGGCCGCAAGAGATAGTGGTAGTGAAAATGAGGGTCTCAGTCGTGTAGCTCACTTTAGCGGCTCCACTTGGGACAGGAGCAATGTTTGAAGTAGTTTCCACGGCTGGAGTGCAAGATTCTCCTTCATTGCAAGAGGTGGTTGGAACTGGGGTCCCTCCTGTAGTTGTGGGGTTTGGAAGTTCTGTTGTTCCTTTGCTGTCACAACCAGTGGTTGGACAGTGCAGCACTGTTGTTGTGACGGTCGTCACACCGCCAGCCGCGTCCGTTGTCACACATACAACAATAGTTTTAGTGACAATGGAGTGATCGGTTTCGGTCGTGGTGTAGGTCGTAGTATATTTAGGACCCGAGGAAGCAGACAACGAGGAATACACTGATGACGCGAATGCATCCGATGGGGTAATTGAGAATGCAGTCACAGACCCGTAGTCATAAGAAGACTTCAGTGAAGAGAGAACTTGAGACGAATTATTACCATCCGCACCATGTGAAGCATAAGTCGAAATAACACGCTCAGAGGTTGGA